CTTGATGTTCCTCGTTTTCTGGCTCTGGTGCAGCAATTAGCAAATGGAACTTACTCTTACACTTATGTCCCACGGAATATTTCTGGTCACAGTAGAAACATAGGCCTTTTGCTCGTTGTGCTTGCACGTCTGCCGCACTCATCTTCCTGATGGAGGCGGGGTTGCTAATGGTGTGAGGGGGAGGAGTTGGTGTGGGTAGAATGTTGGAAATATACCCTAGGACAATCATAGTTTATGATTTATCAATAAATATTTAATGCTCATTAGTTAATAAAGTCACAAACTCATTTTATGTTAATTATTATTATGAGTTTTCTTTATTAATATTTAAGTCTCTGAATATTCTGTTTAGTAGCTAATTAAGTATGTGACTTAATTGTGGAATGCTACACTTTAAAATAAACATAATATTCTAATTCTCCCTGGTCTAATATTATTAATTTGGAACATTAATAATTAATAGACCAGTATGTGGATTAACTGATGGCTATATTCCACTAGTCATGGGTATAGAGATATCAAGTTAATTATATAGATGCTTGTTAGGGAACAAGTTCATTGGACAGACCCAACTTGAGGACACTGCTAGGTTATATGTCATCAGTGTTGTCCTCAATAATGATGAGGTGCTATATTCTTATACTTGAGATAATCATGGTTACTTGCATGAGAATTAATATGTATTAACACCATTAAATGTTATCTTTAAATGGGTAATTATAAAGGTGGTGATTGTACATATTATGAACCATGTAGTAGTATGTGAATTATCAAGATAGTTTTTGTCACTCTTGTAAAGCGAGAGAAAGATATCTATTGGGCCCCTTGACAAGTAAGATTAATTAGCATGACCATGCTCAAATGTAGTGTCATTTGATGAAGATTAATCTTACTTGGTAATCAAGAAATATTAATTCAGAATAACAAGGATGACACGACCTAACCTTGTCTCAATTAAGATATCGTTTGACAAAAGAGAACTATTAGCGCAAATTAATCATTAAAAGGTTATGTCAGATTTAATTGACATTTATATATTTTGGATAGTCATGATGCCTTGCTAGAGGCCGCTTATGATTTGTGAGGCTCGAATTAATTTTATAGCCCACTGCCAATAATATATAAACCTGCAGGGTCACACACCTAAGTGATCTGGATCATTAATATTTGTTAATAACATTAAAATAGCCTGATTAGCCCAATTCGAAATAGGGTTTCAAAGGGTATTGGGCTAGGGCCTCTTTAAGGGTTTTATTAACTATAAAACCCATTCTTTCCTCCTCTTATAAATAGGGCCATATAGACCCACGAATTTTAAGAGTTAAAATTCACTTCTTAAACCTAGAGTAGAGGGGAAGAAAGAAGAGAACGCTAGCACGTTCCCTGCGACCGGTCCAGTCACGTGCGTGTGGATACCGGTAGAGCTCGGGATCGTTTTCTCGGACTGTCTGACATCCTTAATTAAGATTGCTATGTAAGTCCCTCTTAAATCTTGTAATTTCGTTTATAGTAAGAACCTCAGATCCGGTTGTTTACTTTTGGGTAGTAAAATTTTCGTTTATTCCGCTGCGTTTTTCTGCCCGAAACCCAACATAGAATCCATTTAGTTGTAGAGTTGGACACAAAGTTAGGTACGAGGCTTCCTGTGATGCCAGTGTTCCATGTTCTAGGCTCCGGCCCTGACGTGGTCCTGAGACTCACTCCTTTGTGCACAATGTGATTCTCCGGTTGGGTTTCCTCATATCGTGCTTCATATGCCTTAGCCAATTTGAAGGCTTCCAAAAGTGTTTGATGCTTGGCTATCAATAACTCAAGTTTCAATCCTGGTTTTAACCCCCCCACGAAGAAGCAGGTTAGCAAGGACTCCTGAATTCCAGTGACCTTGTTCATGAGTCGCTCGAATTCGGCTTGACACTCAGTAACTGTCTCTCTTTGTGTTAGTTTGGCTAACTCAGCCCGGTGATCTTCGAACTGTTGGTTACCAAACCGTTCTTGTAGTTTTTCTAGGAAATCATGCCATCCATATATGAGATTGTTTTGTTTTGTCTAACGATACCACTCGGATGTGTCTTTCTCCAGACAAAATCCCGTTATCTGTAATCGTTGATCCTCAGGAGTCTTATGAAAATCAAAATACTCCTGAATGCTAAAGATCCTTTGGTGTGGTTCAGTTCCATCGAACTTGGGTATGTCGAGTCTCATGATAGCCGAACGAGGCAGTGTATGTGGGGCTGGCGGCAACTCCGATCGTCCTCAGCAAAGTTGTGGATGTGTGTCTTCCAATGTAAAGCCATCAGGAGGTCTACCAAGACTGGTAGAGGGCTGCTCCTTGCCATGGCCACTCTGAAACCGTGCCTCCATTGTTGTTGCTAGGGCAGTGATCTGCTCTCCTAATTGAGATTGAATTCTGGACTCTTGGGACGCCATTTGTTCGCTAATTTGGGTTTGGAACCTGTCTAGCATTTGCTGTAGAGAAGTTAGGTCGAAGGAATTGCTTGTTGTTCCCGTCATTCTGTAGTTAGTGTGGCAATGAAAGCACCAGTGATACTACATACGGAAGTATCAAACATCCCTTGTTTAGAGTCAAGGGTAAACTCTAGGAAGAGAGAAAAGCAGTTGAGAGATGAGAAGAAGCAATAAGAATTGTTTTCAGCATATTCCCTTGGGTTCACTACCCCTGGGAGTTAAATACAACTAGGTTCAGTTTCAATTTAGTAATACCGTATTGCTACTATACTATTTAATCCAAGACATAATCATTCAAATGAGTGGGGAGTTTCTTCTGGCGAGTGGACTGCCTGAGGTGGTTTAGAGGTGTGTGAGGGGAAACGTGTGCATCATGGGTAGTTGTGGTAACTACTGTATCAGCCTCCGGCTCGGCCAGCTGCCGTTGCTGTGTCGCCATCCCATCTCCGCCGAGTTGCGGTACAAAGGTACAACATGGGCCTTCCGTCGCCACCGCCAGGTCCCCATGCCGTTTGGCCGCCGCACTGCCGCCGTACCGTCGCATTTGCACCACCGGCCACATTCCTCTGCCTCTGGAAACAAGTGTCCACATGGAAGAGATGCCTTGCTTGGTAACTTGTTGACACGGTCACACTGAGAAACAAAAATAAAAGACTTAAAAGGGCAAATATGGAAGACACGGGAAATTAGGTCTTATTTAGGAGTTAAAAAAGTCAAGGTCTTATTTAATTACATACGAAAACTTAAGCTCTTATTTAGCACCATTTCTCCATTAATAACAACATTCTATGGAGTATTAAATACATATTAAATACATATTTATTTATTGAAATATTACCAAAGATATTGAATACAAATAGAAAGAGACATAACAGAAATTATATATTAATTGATTAAATCGGAAAGTGACGAAGCTTTTTGGATAACTCAAAAAGTAACGAATGACAAAATTACAAGGGACAAAGAAAATATGGAGTATTAAATAGGGAAGTAATTAAGGTAAGGAGTCACTTTCGTGATGATGAGAAAGTCTAAAACTAGAGAAAATACAACAAAAGATGAAACAAATGAAAAAACTAGGTACTTATGTAAAATAACGATATATAACTATAGGTAAAGTTTGACAAATATTAAACTTTTAGCAAATAATAAATAACTTCTCAAAAATAATGGACTGAAAAATAATTGAGTGATTGGATGATCATAATAGTTTTTTAACTTTTATTTGATCTCCCTCTATAAAAGAAAGTCACAGAAATATGTTTAATTTTATGAAAGAATGACCTCTATATTACCATTACCTTTTCAATTTCAAAAATATTACTCCGTATGTTTTTCCAATTTTTCGAAAAAGTGCCATTAATAAACCATATCTTGCAAGCATCAATGAGAGAACAACGATGGTATGCGACATTTGTTCCAGGGTAAATTCGATGGCCACGTGCCTTGCCTCATCTGCTCAGAAGCGTCGACCGCGCCACCTGGCACCATCGTCTGATGTCTCCTTCCCGTCGCCTGCTGCCGTTCGTCACAGAGGTTTGGTAGTTGCAGAGAACGTTGAAGGTCTTTCAATTTTCTACCCAGTGAGCGTCTCCGAAAAATAGAATTTACTCTGGGTTAAATTTGTTGAGAAAACTGAAGAAGGATAATCAATTTCCTCCTTCAATTCGTAGGGATCCAGCAACAAGGAACGTAGGTCTGGTAATTGCATATGCAAATTGGAAAATGAAGATGATGTGTCAGACTGTCTTGGCCCATGATGATTTAACAACGACATGGCCGTCGTAGGTCGCAGTTCTGTTGCGCATGGGAGGGGGCGAATCTAGGCTTGGGTTGGAAAGAGGTCTGAATGGGGTTCTGCCTTGTGGGGGTGGGGGTGGGGCACTGGGGCCTAGGCGGTAGCGTCAGTCACTAGATGGCCAAGGCGATGGTCTCTGGACGAAGCGGTGCACCGACAGCGATGTCACAATGACGATGTCACTGTGGCAACTGAACGCGCACTCCCGGTGTCATCCGTTAGTGACATGAAAATCTGATAGTGACACATTTAGTGACATGAAGAAATCGCATTGACATGAAAAATCACAATGACATAAAAAATGTAGTGACATCAAGTTTTTAAAAAATATGACCTTGGTAATCATATTTTTGTCAATATTTAAAAGTGGCGACTTTTTGAAAATCGACTTAAACTTAGTACTACTTCCGTCCTATTTTATGTGTCCTACTTTGACTTGGCACAATTATTAATGAAGTGGTTCAAAAAGTAAAAGTTGTGATTGATATTTGAGTATAATAAAGTGAAATGGTGTAGAACACATTTCTTTCCAAAAAGGGAAAGAAGGCATTTATTTTGGGACAATCCAAAAAGGAAAGTAGCACAAATAAAGTACGAAATGAAAGTAGGAGTAATATTTAAGGAAAACCCCTAATTTTATTTGAATCAATGTTTCATACACTATTTGAAAGTAAAATGAAGTATGCATTACATTCCAACTCAAATATTGTGATCGTAACAATTTGTGAAATTGCAGGAAGTTAGTGAAAGTTGTTATCAAACGATACGACAATCATGGTCCGTTATTGATAAGTTTGCTTCCAATCCGAGGGGTCTCTCCATTCTTAGTGAGAAATTCAAACTTTGCAAGTAAATCTTCTTTGCTAGCATTAAATCTCTCTTTCACTCTCCTTTAATTTATAATCATTATCATTTAGATTTCTATGGATCCATTTTCCTATCTAGCCAAGTACTTGGTGTGGTTATTAGAGTTAGATGTGTAAAGTTGCTTGATTCTCACAATTGCATAGGGAATGATAAATACCAAGAGAATGAGGTAGACAATTTATCCAGACAAGCTCACATGTGATAGTAGCAGTAGCCATGAAACGATATTTAGCTTTCACAAAGGATAGAGAAACAGTTGGTTGTTCCATTGTTTTCCATGAGATAGAAGAATTTAAAAAAGAACAATATAGTCACCACCTTCTAAGAGGATATGCCCTCTTAGCTTATATAGGCTTCCCAAGTGATTTGTGTGGGTGCTGCATAAATATTGCTAGGACGTGTAGAGAATAGTGTGGATCAAATCGTTGGCTTACTGCTACACTAAAAATAATCGCTGATACTTTAGCATGCCTTCTCCCCTTATTGCGCATGCGAAGCGCCGCGCAGTGGCCGAGCCAAAAATGGTAGGTTAGGGAGCCAAATCTTAAAGAATTATGTTCCAGGGGTCATGGCCTAAAATTACACTACATCTTTTACTATATATAAATAATATTATATATGTGTGTACATCACAAGTTTTTTCTTGTGGGGGTTGAGGCCCCCTCCAGCCTCCCCCTTGCGCCAAGTTTCGATTGCACTCGCAGGCTAGGTTGACACCGCATACACTTTCCGGGGGTCAAACCTGTGACCTAGGTGTAAGGTGTTAGAGACTGTATAACCAAGCTCTATTCGTCGATCCAACTGAAGAGCCGAAATTTTTTTGGGTCCGTGTCTGAAGAGCCGCTAGTTTCCGTACAGTTTTGGGACGTACAGTTTTGGGCCGCGCGTCCTAGTCGTTTTGGGGTTAGGTTTTACTCTATAAATACAAGCTCTCTCCCTTGTAATATGTTGATCCGAAATTAATAGCAATTCCTGGCTTGGTAGCACCCCCAGATGTAGTCCTTTGTGGCGAACTGGGTTACCAAATTTTGTGTGTTCTTCTTTATCGTTCTTCGTATTGCATTAATTAAATCCTAACAATTGGTATTAGAGCAAGTTTCGAAGGGAGAAATCAATATAATGGCAGATTTGAAGACACCGTTGGTGCAATTTGATGGGACGGATTTCGGTTTCTGGAAGTTGCAGATTGAAGATTACAACGGTAAGGATCTGTATCAACCTCTAGATGATAAGCCGGAAGACATGAAAGAGAGCGATTGGAAGTTGTTGGACATGAAGGCGATGAGCGTGGTTCGATTGTCACTGTCCAGAAACATTGGCCTACACACCCTCAAGGCAAAGACAACAAAGGAGATGTTGCAGATATTATCGGATATGTACGAAAAACCATCTGCTACGAACAAGGTTCATCTGATGAGGCGTCTTTTAACCTAAAGATGTCTGAAACCACGGGAGTTGTGGAGCATCTCAACGAGTTCAATTTAATCACCACACAATTGAACGCGGTTGAGATCAAATTCGACGACGAAATTCATGCCCTAATTCTGCTGTTTTCTCTACTAGAAAGCTTGAACGAAACGATGACTGCAGTCAGCGCTGCAGCAGAGAAGGAAAAGTTGAAATTCGATGCAGTCAGAAATCTGGTGGTGGGCGAAGAAATTCGCAGGATGGAATCAGGCGTGACTTCTGGATCGGCGTTGAATTCAGAGAACTCGGGCAAAACAAAGTCAAAGTCAAAATCAAATCGAGAAAGATCAAGATCGAAATCCAAATCAAACAGCAAGGGTAAGAAGGACAAAAGTCAGATCAAGTGCTGAAATTTTGAGGAGTACGGACACTTCAACAACCAATGCTAGGAGCAGATCAAGGATCAGGAGGAGAAGACATCCGCCAATGCAACCACTGCATCATCTGGCAATGATCTCCTAATCCTGAGCGTGAGCAGTCCATTGGAGTCATGGGTTCTGGAGCTTCGTTTCATTCATGTGGTAATGTTGAAGTGATGAAACATTATACTCCCTACAATTTTGGAGAGGTGTATCTTGCTGATGACGAACCTCTAACAATTGTCGGAAAGGGTACAGTCCACGTGAAGACTCCGAACGGATGCATGCTGAAACTGAATGGTGTCCGACACATTCCTGGTTTGAGGAGAAATCTACTTTGAATTGGGCATCTGGATGAGGAAGGTTATATAGTTACATTCGGCAACAGAAATTGGAAGATCACCAAAGGAGCCTTGTTGGTTGTTAAAGGGAAGAAGGTGGGGACGTTGTACATGATAACGAACTCGATGGACTGCATCGATGTTGCTGCCGCTGCAACAAACGATGCAAATTTGTGGCATTATAGTCTCGATCACATGCGCGAAAAGGGGATGAAGGAGCTGTGCTCGAAGGGTAAACTGCCCGGCCTGAAGACTGTTGAAGTTGGCTTATGCGAGGACTGCATATTCGGGAAACATAAACGTGTCAGTTTCTCGAAGGTTAGACGAGCGATTACACCGGAGAAGTTGGAACTAGTTCACACCGACCTTTGGGGACCTGTAGAAGTTACATCCTTAGGAGGATCCGCCTACTACATGACCTTTATTGATGATGCCACAAGAAAGGTGTGGGTTTATTTTCTGAAAAATAAATCTGATGCCTTTGATGCTTTCAGGAGATGGAAAGCTCTTGTTGAAACGGGACAGGTCCGAATTTGTTTTGGGTCCGTTTCTGAAGAGACGCGAGTTTTCGTACAGTTTTGGGCCATACAATTTTGGGCCGCGCGTCCTAGTTGCTTTGGGATGATGTTTTACTCTCTATAAATACAAGCTCTTTCTCTTGTAATATGTTGATCCGAAATTAATAGCAATTCCTAGCTTGGTAGGGCGTCCCCAGACGTAGTCCTTTGTGGCAAATTGGGTTACCAAATTTCGTGTGTTCTTCTTTATTGTTCTTCATATTGCGTTAATTAAATCATAACACTCTGATCGGATACCACTTGTGTTTCTATACTTTGAGCTATGATACTCTACCACTTGCATGTGGATGTGTTTACCGTTACATTAAAAGTAGCCATAGATAGTTTAGCACGCCTTCCCCTTTATAGCACATACAAAGTACCACGTTTCGTTGACACCAATAGGCTGGGAAGTGCAGAACTATGGGTACCACATACCCGTGACCAAATAAATAGCTTAGTTGAGGATGAGTTAGAGGTAAATAGATGAGTTTTCTCATGAGCTAGAGATATTGATTTGGACTAGATAGAATAGAGCTAATGAATAAAGATGGTTGTTGATTGTGTTCCATAGGGAAGCAAACAGGCTTCGTTCCATACCAAAAAGACCAAGCTCATCCAATAAATCTAGCGGGTATTTATATTGACAAAAAGCACAGTAGGTTTGCATGCTACCTCAATCCCTAATACCATATGAGACGCTCAAAAATGAGATTGATAACGATTTTTTTAACGGTAGAATTTGATGTATATTTTGCATTCTAACATAGATTGTGGGACATGGATCCAGTGGCGGAACCAGCTCAGGGACCCTGGAGGGGCACTTAATGGGAAAGCGAATGTCTCCGAAAGATGTTGCATCCACTATCTAGAATATACTACATATATACGGAGTATTTTAATCTAGAATATAATATCTTGACAAGTAAATTGAGAAATCACAATTTTAATTACATACAAGATCAAATGAGATTTTCTATGAAACCAAAAAGCAGGAAATTAAATATAATGAGTCGATTTGATGAGAAAGCTACCATAGCAAAATTATGATTCTTACCCATGCACTAGAGAGCTTAATGGTACATCACCAAAATTTGAATACAGCTATTTAATTAAAACCATTTTAAAATAATTTAGAGTTTAAAAAAGACACATATAAAACAGAATAAAAAAATTAAGCTGGGATTCCATCCCTAGACCTCTCATAATCAAAGAACACAAATGCAACGCCTAATCCAGTACGCTACAATGTCTTTTTGTTGACATTAGTGCTTATTAATGTATAACACATGTATTTTATAAATATTTACAATTTACAATTTTATATTTGATATATATATATATATATATATATATATATATATATATATATATATATATATAATAAAAATAAAAATAACTGCAGGGGCTCAAGGTCCTCCGAGCCCCTTTCTAGCTAGTTCCGCCCATGCATGGATCCTTGCTAAACCTGTGTCAAAAACGTAACAATGAGAATGTAAACAGGACTTCCAACCTTTTATACCCGTATAGGACTAATTATCATGCTATGAGACAAAAATAGCCCTGCTTCCTTCCTATGGTACGGTGTACGAGCTTACGCGTGCCCTGCGGATAGAATTGCCCGCACACCTTAAAAATGATTGCTTGGGCACCGAAAACGTCATCAATCGTTGCTTCAACACTAAATCGCCTCTCTTGATCTCTATGAACTTTCAAACTTCTGAAATCGTTCGAGTTTGGGAAGAAGATTAGCGGGAGAATTTTTTTTTACATAAAACATCATTTTGTGTTCTTTTTGGCATGGATGATCTCCTCTGTTTGTATATCATCCTTCTCTTCCTAGTCCATCTTAATTCGGCCAAAAAAAAACTGTTACCTTGCATCTAAGATGTTCGGGCGCCATTAATGGGCTGTTCACGCTTCGGAAAAAAAGAGGTTTGATGATATCCGTAAGCTTGACTCGTTTGGCTAGTACAGTGAAGGGAAGATACAACTCATAGAAGAAGAATTAATTAACGGGTTTGGTTTTTTTCATTTACTAGAATTTTAATAGTATATTCGATATCTACACACCTAATTTGAGATTTTAGATTAAATTTAGGGAATCTATAGATATCTATCTATCTATAGATAATACATTTCAAAGATACAATTATGGAAAGTTTTGTCATGTGTCATCACCTAAGCAAATTTAATATATTAATTAATTATAGTGCATAAATGCGTTACATACATTAGGATTTAAGTTTGATTAAAGGGGAATTTTGAGTTTGCACCCCACTTTTTGTGTGATATTGGACTTTGCACCCCATTTTCAAAACTTTTAGACTTTGCACCCCATCTACAACATTTTGTGAAGAAAAATTCCTAGATGGGGTGCAAAGGCAAAGACATTTTAGGGGAAATAGGGTGTAAAGTCTAAAAGTTTTGAAAATGGGGTGCAAAGTCCAATATCACCCAAAAAGCGGGGTGCAAAGTCAAAATATCCCTTGATTAAAATTGTTCTTACCATTAATTTAATAGCCCTACTAAGCTAATGCTACGTGAGTACATATGTTGGAGAATTTTACAAAGAATAACTGAGCTATCACATCATTGGACCCCAACACAAAAATCTCTCTATTTTTAAAATTGATATAACTTTTTAATTTGTAATTCAATTTTTATAAAAATTATATCAAAATTCATGATTTTTATTATCTTTCATATGACATCAATATTGCATATGTAAAAAATTAAAAAACATTTTAAATGTACGATAGATGAAGGTTTTTTAATCTCAAAACTTTTTATAGCGTAATTTGATTCTGCAATTAGGGGACACTTTATTTATTGGCTTAAAATGTCAACAAACGCATATTAAGTTCTAAAACATTTATTTAAAAATTACAATTCAAATTGAATTTGAATCAACAAAACAACTTAAGCAGTGTTTGCGTTTGCTTTAAAAAAGCGCTTTTCAGCTTTTGGCTTAAAAAAAGCTAAAAAGAGTGTTTTCAAATGACAGCTTCTGCTTAAATTAATCACTTAAAAGCTAAAAGCTGGAAGCAGGTGGAAGGGTGCTTTAAACTGCTTTTCACTTTTTCTATTACACAAAAAGTACTTATTTTACCAAACATTACCAACTTTTACTTTTTCAGAATCACTTTTTTCTCAAACACTACCAACTTTTACTATTAATCACTTTTTCCAAAATCACTTTAAAAAATCACTTTTTTAAAGTTGAAGCAATTGCAAACACTCCCTTAGTTAGAACTTTCTTAAAAATAAAAAAACACAAAGGACACCAACAAACAAGGAGATTGCATATAAAAAAGTAAAAATAAAACCACCAAAAAACCACCATCAACCTACAACATTGGTGTCATGAGAAATATAATAAAAAGTTACTCCATCCGTCCCATTTTACTTAGACAAACTTGACTTTTCAAGTTAATGGCGTCTAACTTTGACCGATTATATGTTTATATAGAGAAGGTATTGATCATTTGAAAATGGTATGAAAATGTTCTTTGTTAAAAATACTATCACAAAAGTATAAAATTATTAAATTTTGCATAAATATATTAGTTGAAATAATTGGTCAAAGTTTATCATCTTTGACTGGAAAAGTAAAAGATGGCTACGTAAATTGGGACGGAGGTAGTATGATTTTTTATATGTTTTTGTGTCATAATCGGAGTACAAATAAAAAAAGTTATAACACTTTAAAAAACAGATTTTGTTTAAAACCTTATGTTGACATCATGATCATATAGTTTTTAACATATTTTATCGGCTGAAGTTACTCTAGAAGACCATTTTAACTATTTTTATATAACTTTTTCTTTATTTTATTAAAAATTTTTTTTTTCATAAATAGGCAGAATCGGCTAATCTAGCCAATTTAGCCAGAACTTCATGGATTTCCGTAGAATTAGTCGATTTAGACGATTTTTGTATTATCAAACGAGATCTTAATTGGGATATTTACACTTGCTTTCGAAAGGATAACTATATTACTCATTCTTTCAATAATCATTTCATTGCAATATTCTTCTCCCTAGATATATCTTACCACCTTTTTAGAATATATTTAGGATTTTTTTAATTGGATTAGTTTCTGTCTTAGACCAAATTCAGACCAAAACATACCATATAAATCAGACTAGACTTCGCGCAGTTATAGAATACACAGAACAAATATCTACCAAAGGTGTCCCGTTCAGATCAAATCAGAAAGGGAAAACTGTCAAATAGGTCCTCGAACTTTCATAAAAAAGTCAGTTAAGTCCTTCTATAGGAGACTCTGTCCGGTCGTCGCGATTTGGGGCGGTTCCCAGTGGAATTTTTTGATGAAATTTTTTGAGCATCTTATTCATCAAGTCTAGTTTACTCATACCAAATTTCAGTTAACAATTTAATCAGGAGCGCATTCAAATTAATTCGAGAATGCAAAAATGCGCAGTTATCTTCAAGAATAAATTTGAATGTGTTCCCGATTGAATTTTTAGCTGAAATTTGGTATGAGTAAACTAGACTTGGTGAATACGATGCTTAAAAAATTTCATCAAAAAATTCCACCGGGATTTGCCCCAAATCGCGACGGCCGGACAAAACCTCTTATAGAAGGACTTAATTGACTTTTTTATGAAAGTTCGAGGACCTATTTGTCAGTTTTCCCAATCATAAAAAACTACATTTCAACAAATCAAATCAAATCAGAAAAATTGAGACTAATTAAAAGCACCCTTACACAAGATTTATATGTGATGGCTTAGAATAAAAGCGCACAAACTACATCACTTTTATTTATTATTTTATTCTTTGCGCTAGAATTTGTGTTGTTTAATTTTATTCTAAGTTGCCACTCTGAATTAATAACGTGCATGGTAAAAACAATACTAACTTGCACAAATTAATAAAATTAATATTACCTATATAAAACATTGGTATCATGTGAAAGATAATAAAAGTTATGATTTTTGATATTTGTTTTGTAAAAAACAGATTTTGTTAAAATGTTATGTTGACAACATGATCACCTTCTAGGCTTCTACCCGTGCCGTGCACGGGATAAAATATGTTTACTTTTAGTTTTACTATCTATGTGTGTGTTTGTGTGCAGTGGCATAAGTAAGGATTTATTATAACTAACGGAAAGTCACTTATATAGCCGATTGTAACATTAGTTGATAATGCATATTCTTATTTATTGAGTATGCCTTATTTTATTAGCTAATTATCTAAATATATTCTCAGACTATATATTCCAATCAAAAGAATCAATATTTTTAAAACTCTCAGTTGCATCCAAATGAACTTCATCTTTTCAACCTTCTTTATTTAAAAAAAAAAAATCGACTGCGCATCAAATGCAGAACCAAAAGAGCATGAAAAATGAAATCACAAAAAATATGAAAAAGAAACCTAAGTCGAAGGCAGATACACCAGTAAAGAAGAAGCTAGAAAATTGTAGAGATGAAAAAGGAAATCACAAAAAATATGAAAAAGAAACCTAAGTCGACAGCAGATACACCAGTAAAGAAGAAGAAAATTCTAGAGATGAAAACTCCAGATCTGCCGCCGTCTCCCTTCCAACTGTGTCGGCAGTGTCACCGTTGCTCTTGTAACTCCACCGCCCCTTCCAACTTCGCCACTGCGTATAGAGGAAAAAGAATCATATTCCCTGATTTTGGGGAAAGGGCGAGAGACGAACGGCGGAAGCAATCGAGAAAAATGAAATCGAAGCAAAGAGATTAAACATAGTACTGTATTATCTGTAAGGGCAAAATAGGGAGTAAACATATAAATGGTCTTATAAGGGCCCGGTCTGGTCTAATAATTGGGTGAATCCGTACCCGTACCGTTATTATTCAAATTGTTCGGTTCGCTTCGGTCTTACGCCTAAACCCAATCAGTACGATTCCATTTTCAAACGGGACGGTACCATTTCATATCAATACCAAACAATGATACTTTTTTCTAGTGTTTAAGGCTAATTAAAGTTTAGACAACCTCCAAAAATCCACAAAATTTATCAATTTTCATACTCTCTCCATTCCAAATTGATATGCAAATTCAATAATTTTTTGTCAAACAATGTTAGTCAAATCCTCTTAATTGATAATTAATTCAATTTTTAACAATTAAAATTTACATATTCAAAAACTACATTAAAATCTCTTCAAAGTTGCAAACTCGAAATTAAATATAATTAAAATTTGACATCCTAATTAAGTGAATGAAATGAAATTATTTAACCATGAAAAGTTAATTTTGGAAATCAATTTGGAACTGCGGTAGTATTACATAATTAATAAATTTCAGATAAACTATAGTAGTACTAATTTAGAAATTAAACCTTACATCGATCTGGTTCCAGACTTCCTATGAACTAGTAAAGGCGTTGAAAGCCTGAAAATGTGAAGGCACTAGTCACAGTAATGGTATAAATGTAAATTTAATTAATTATAAATACTTCGGTCCTGTTCGGTTCGGTAGCGGTTCTCATTTTATGAGAACATGTCATGGCATTGTTTAGAATCGGTACGGTCCGGTTCGATCGGTACAAATATTTGAGATCCGTTTCAAAACCCGTTTTTTGGTCCAGTACCACGCCGGTTCGGTATTTTCGCCCACCCCTATATTCAGGCATTAAAAACATTCCAGTCTTATTTGGTTATGCAAAGTTATTTTTAGTCAAATCCGGGACCACTTCTCTTTTTTAAATCTCTTACTGATAGTGAGCATATTTTTTGAATGTTAGATTTCTTTGATTTAGGGAAATTTTCCGTGTTTCCTGAAAGTGATAGTGAGCGTATACTTTGTTTATGTATTATTATATTCAATCAATTGATAGTTCGTTGACTAAATAAAAGCATTTTATTTAAGAATAAAAGCATACATACTATGAGTAAGTTTAATTAGTGAAAAGTAATTTATTTTGGGTTAGGAAATTAAATTCGTCAGACAATGCGGCGGAGCTGAAGAATTACTTGGAGGTCATATATATCGTTGCCGCTCAATATGACGCTCCACCGGAGTATCCGGTGACGAAGGTGTGCGGTGGCATAGACGGTGAGCCCAAAGGGACTGATATTCTTGGTCGCATACAAGCCGGCGTCATGGCCTATTCAGGAAACTTTTCCTGTTATGACATTCCGTCTTCTGATCCCACCAACATTGCATGGGATTGGCAAGTAAGTAAATATACTCCGTATAATGTTTGGTCGATCGATTTCAATGCCCTAATACTAGTACATCTTAATTCCTTTTGTTGAGCAATAAATCGAAGCTTTTGGTCAAGAAAAAAGATCGAAATGATCTTATGCCGTACCCCAAGCTTGGATATCGACTATGATAATCCGCACACTTATATTTTTTTGATTTATTAAATGTTTTATTAACTCCTTTGCTAATTTTATTCATAAAAGTTTATTGTTTTCATAAACTAAATAATATTTAAAAATTTTAAAATAATAAAATAATAAAAAGTCATGTCAATTTGGGTGTTACATTGATAGTTTTCAATTATTCCAGGTACATACCGACATGTTTCATCTTTCAAATCTCGGATTAGTAGTTCATTTGTTGAATTAATAAACTTCGTTTTAAGTAGCTTTCGCTCGTGAAGATTATGGGATAATAATGCGTGAGGACTGAGGAGTAGCCTAGGGGCCTTACTAATGAAAAAAAGTATTGCCCTTAATAAGATTAAAATTAGGTCAAAAATCACAACTAGAACTATACCCCTAAATCATTCACAAATAGGACTAAACATTAATATTGTACCGTAAAAATCCCTAAGTGTATTAATTCATAATAAAATTGAAAAAAAAATCCTGGAAAATAATAAAACCTTCATAAAATATTTATTAAAAAAATATTTTAAAAAAATTAAAAATTTTAAAAAATAATAAAAAATATTAAAAGAACATAAATTTTTTTTGAAAAAATGGATGCCTTTCCCACTGCCTCTATTGCCTATCCGCACCACCACCTCTGACCGGTCTAAAAAAATCCTGTTTTTGTAAAAAAATCCATTTTTATGAAAATGCCAAAAAATGACATATTACTCTTTGATAATACCAAAATTTTCATTGAATCTACCATTAATAGGGCATTACTAATGCATGCGGCATTGTTTTTTTCCGGTGACTAGAGGTGGTGGTGCTGGGGTGGCAGAGGCGGCGGTGATTTTTTTTCTTTTTTTCTTTTAATTTTTTATTGTTTTTTAAAATTAATTTTTATTTAAAAAATATTTCATTAATTTTTTATTATTTTTATGATTTGTTTATGAATTAAATCATTTAAAAAGCTACAAGGGTATATATGTCCATACACACATAATTAGTCATCCGAGTAAATAAAAAACAATGTTGTTTGTGATTGTGGACTACCTTTTACTCCTATTAGGTAATAAAATTAACTCAATGAAAAGTAAAACGTAAAACAAACCTGATAAGAAGAATTAATTGGCAAACCATATGAAACAATAACCAAATAACAAATAACTACTAATTTCGCCTTTATAACTAAGGGTCTGTTTGCAACAGCTTCTTCTTTTAGAAAAGTGTTTTTTTAATGAAATTGGGAGAAGTGATTAAATAAAAGTTCATAATGTTTGAGAAAAAAGTGATTTTAAAAAGTAAAAGTGGGTAGTGTTTGGTAAAATAAGTGCTTTTTGTGTAATAGAAAAAGTAAAAGCACTTTTGACGCAGAAGCCGAGAAAAATAAAAGTTATAGTGTTTGGGAAAATAAGTGTTTTTTTAAAGCCAAAAGCTGAGAAGTGCTTTTTTAAAAGGAGTTGCAAACAAACCCTAAGTCATCTTTTCTTAGTTTTGGTCAAACACTTTGTAGTTTAATCACATCGATCAGTGTCAAGGAGGAGGTCACGGATTCAAAATTTATCTTAGTAAAGGATGTTGACATTTCACAAAATAGATAGAAACTACAACCAAAATAAAAGAATCTTTTCTAAGTCTTGGTGTCATACTCACATTCCCTTTTAAGTAAGGCCAAAATTCTATGGTGCCTTTAAGGTACTGTGCATTGTCTACGATGATCAATTTGAATATTAATAAATGATGATATAATGACTTCAACCACTCAAATTAAATGTACTATAGGTGTGATACTATCATTTACTTGTGAGGTATCATATCACTCACCAGTAAGTATTAAGTTTGTGATTCTTATTATGTTTGCTCTCATCTACACAAATATTAACCACATATCCTTAAATTTTATTACCAAATATTATTCAATCGCATGGAGAATCAACGAGCAAGAATGATGACAGAACATTAAAAATATTTAAGGCAATAAAAAAGGAGATGAAACGAGAAATAGCCCTAAGAATCTCTTGCATTAAGAATTAGAACGACCTCTTCTCGAACCAGACTGAACACTCTAATGGCAGTGGCGGATCTAGGCTTTACATTTTGGGTGTTCGGACCTAAGTTAAAATTAAAACTATTGCAATAATCATACTCAATGTTAATTATTACAAACTAATTCATCAAAAATCATACATTAAAAAAATGTACTAGTACTAAATTAAATGCCAAACACAATTTCGGTACTGCACTAGCTAGTACCACTGTTTAGACCAAAGCGCTAGATTGTGGAATGAACTGACAATTGCCAATACTAAATTTGTTAATATATTGTTGGCCCAAACGTTTTTTTGTATATTAATAATGGTCAACAAACTTTCTAGCGGCCCACTACATTGTACCCATTTATCTATCTGGCTTATCAATATTTTCCTCTCCCGTTAGAATTCAAAATACTGAACTCATTATTGCCTAGTGATGAGTTGTGTGTGTAGTGTATTATTTGAGTGTCCTTCTAATAGAACCAAGAAACCCATGCTATAAGGACAGCCCCTGCACCCTTGTTGTAGAGAGTGGAGCGTACGAGAGATACTTCACCCAAAACCAGTCTTCTTCCTCCTTGAGTTTCCTTTGTGTGAGAACTTGATAGTGAGTAGAAGTGAGTAGAAGTGAGGTGTTGGCGAGGCTAGAAAGGTGTGTTGCTCCCTTAGCCTAGGTATGCACAAGAGACAACCGGAAAACCGACGTCCGGACTGCCTGAGCCGGAATCCGGTGACGGAATCGATCCTCAACAAAATTAAATACTAAAGTACCACTTGCGAATGAACTGACAATTGCCAAAACTAAATTAAATGCCAAACACAATTTCGGAAGATCCGAAACGCAGGTTTGGACTTCTACCTTGGGATATGACTGGCTGAGTATACCCATAGTACTAAACGGTGGAAAGTTCTGGGTGTTCAGGTGAACACCCTTGAACAATACATCGTCCGCCACTGTCTAATGGTCTATCCCATGACCACTACATGCAAGAATCTGTCCAGTCGGTAGCTTCCATAGCCTATAGTTATAGATTTTTTAGGAGAAGCGATGCACTAATAACAACAACAATGACATTGGATCTCAATTATGTCACCGTTGATCCCACAACAACAATGAGCTGAGATTGGATCTCAAGTCCATTGCCGTCGATCCCATGATCTCTTCTCGAACTAGACTGAACACTCTAACGGTCGATCCCATGACTACCACTACATGTCACCCGAAAACTGTCATGGCACATCCCATGACCATTTTCTTTGCTCAGCTACGACAGATAGAGGAGAAGTCCCTCATCCATTTGTCGTAGCGTCTCAACAATATTATACTGAGTCACCTTTTGATGGTTCGATCCTTTATGCTCTACCGGATCAGATATCCATCAGGGTTTAATGCTGGCACAATGAATTTCCTTGTTATTCATTGTTATAGATCCCGTCCGCCACAATGAATTTCCTTGTTATTCATTGTTATAGATCACGTCCGCCACTGTCTAATGGTGTATAGTCACCTTGAACAATACACCGTCCGCCACTGTCTAATGGTCTATCCCATGACCACTACATGCAAGAATCTGTCCAGTCGGTAGCTTCCATAGCCTATAGTTATAGATTTTTTAGGAGAAGCGATGCACTAATAACAACAACAATGACATTGGATCTCAATTATGTCACCGTTGATCCCACAACAACAATGAGCTGAGATTGGATCTCAAGTCCATCGCCGTCGATCCCATGATCTCTTCTCGAACCAGACTGAACACTCTAACGGTCGATCCCATGACGACCACCACTACATGTCACCCGAAAACTGTCATGACACATCCCATGACCATTTTCTTTGCTCAGCTACGACAGATAGAGGAGAAGTCCCTCATCCATTTGTCGTAGTGTTTCAACAATATTATATTGAGTCACCTTTTGATGGTTCAATCACTAATGTGGAGATAACAAGGAAATTCATTGTGCCGGCATTAAACCCTGATGGATATCTGATTCGGTAGAGCACAAAGGATGTTGCGCTTGTCGTCTTCATAAGCCCTGAGCAGAGGGAAGCATGCATGTGTCGGGGGGGTAGCGGTAGCGGTCATCGCGGTAGCGGCCTGTAGCCGACTGTAGCGGTTGCAACGGCGTGAAATATTTTCAATTGCGCAAAACATAAATGTGTTATTTCACATCATTCACACAATATTTAATTTTGAGTTTCACTCTATGCATCACCATTAATGTATTTTTTTCACATCATTCACACAACATTTACACATTTACACATCAAGCAAACAGTTCGTGATGTACTGCCGCAAATGTCAATAGCGGGCTAAAGCGGGCGGCGTAGTGGATTTTTCCCATGATTTGAAAATCACACACGAATAGCGGGCCATAGCGGTAGCGGCCCCTACCGCGACCGCTATTTAGTGGCCGCTATAGCGGTAGCGTGCCACTACTTCAAACCATGTGTGTAACCTTAGTTTAGTCTTTGAATCCGTTTAGTCAATTCATACTTTGCGTTAAATTGTTCAAACATTTAATGCTATATTTTTTTTGTTACAACGGAAGTAACATTTAATGCTATATACATTACACAAATTCTAGCTTTTTATTTGTGTACCGCATGCATGCAGACTTGTACTGAAATGGTGATACCAATTTGGACGGGGTACAATAACGACACAATGTTCGTTCCTGATCATTTCGACATGAACCAATACTTGGAATATTGCAACTATTCCTACGGGGTTCAACCCCGAATACACTGGATCACAACTTACTACGGAGGACACGTATGTTAATTCCCTATTCTAAATTAAGAAGTTTTCTTATACGGAGTTTATAACATTAAAAAAAGGGTAAAATGTACTATACAATATTAGTTTTAAGTCCTTATATAAGAGATTCTGTCCGATCGTCGTCATTTGTCTATACAATATTAGTTTTAAGTTAGTATATATTGTCTTTTTCTTTAAATAGTACTACATCCGTCCCATTGAGAGGTTCCCATGGCAAAACGACAAGGTTGTTTATTAGACAATAATTAAATATAATGTAGTTCAAGTGTATTTTGAGAAATAATTTTTATAGGTATATTTTGAGAACTGTGATTTTATAAATGAATTATTTTTAATATTTAATGATTAATTTGTCATTTAAAATTATTAATTGTTTTATGAAATGAAAATGAGAATTTTTATATGGGACGGTGGGAATAGTAAATAATATACAAAAATGTATTGTTCTATATTGAATATTGATATTCGATATTCTATTAGTGCGTATTAATACTATATGACAGCATATAATTACATTATTGTAGTATCTTACTCCTACTTTAATTGGAAAAATATAGAGCTTTTTCATAAAATATTACTAATAAAACAATTATGGATCAGACAAAAAAATTGACTATAAGTTATTATGAGTAAGTTTTGTAGTTACTACGATGTAACATTATATTTTATCACAATATAGTTTCTAAAGTTACTAGTCACTTTTTTGTGCATAATTTTTATTTTGGTTATATATTTTAATTGTTTAAAAAATATACGGAGAAATACTCTTGATTAGAAAAACGGCTGTATTTTTATCTTATTGTGAATTGAAAATTTCACTTCAAATTTAATTTTATCCCAATAATTTTTCATTGACAAAACTGCACGTGAGCTGTGCTCCTAAACTTTTTCCGTCGATAAATCAAAGAATTTTAAAGAATTTTTTCGGATCTTTTTTTTTTTTTTTTTGAAAAATAGGGTGCAAATTTTGTGTTTTGCTAGCTACGCTGTACTCTACCCTCCCTAACTAAAGGTATTTTATATTTTGCAAATCATTTTATATTCAAATTGCAGGATATTAAATCTATTCTGAAGAGGTTTGGCAGTAACATAATTTTCTCCAATGGTTTAAGAGACCCGTACAGCATCGGAGGGTAACTGAACACACTAATATTAACACTCTATTTTATGAATATCTTACTAATTACATTTCGAATTAAATTTAATTATAACGGAAATATAATCTATTCGATTGAGTAAGTTTTTTTATGTTATGTTGATAGGGTTTTACAGAACATATCAGATACCATACTTGCTGTCTATACACCAAAAGGTATGTCATTTAATGAACTCAAGTGTTTAGTCATTATTAATAAATACATCATGATCAAACTATATTTAGAAGTTTCCATAGCACCATGCATATAATAATTCGTGACAACCGCCGTCCCACGAACCACACTCTGAATTAATCACCTCCACATAAGCAATGTAATTCGTTGATCCATAAATGAGCACAAAAGAGCCAAAGACAGTTACCGCAATCCTCTCATCACCCACATCCAAACCCAACGTTTTACAAGCAGGAATAACAAGAACGAAAAAAGTACACAGCAGAAAAACAAATCACTAAAATAAAAAAACAAAATAGATAAAGTAAATTCTCTGTCCGAGCATACAATGAGAATAAGTTGTTAATTTTTTATGTGTTGAACTTGATTCTTTTATTTTTGTGTTGGGAAACAAACATACATACCCCGAGGGTTACAAACAGACTGAACATCATAGCCATATGATGTGCAATAAGACGAATAAAATTACGGACAAGAGAGGATCGGAGGAATTACCAATATTAATAATATTATTTACATAAAGTAATAAATAAATGATAGAATAATTCTAACGAAAAATAAACACGAAGTTATCAGACTTGCTACCACAAAAGTTATGTGTGAGAAGAAAGTTGTTAAAATGATGAAACAAGGAGCAGTGAGGACTTGCTTAAGATCATAAATGGCCTTGCGCAATCGATAAAAATGATTAGAATATTGAGGATGAATAAACCCCCGCGGTTGACACATGTAGACTTCAATTCCTCTGTGAGATGACCATGAAAAAAAAGCATTTTTAACATCAAGTACTTATAGCGCTCAGTTGTGGTGAGTTTAATGACTGAACTAAAAGTTTCAGTAAAAGCATCACTCATTGGACAGTTCTGCGAAACGAAAGAACCTGTTTTTTCATCTGATGAGAGTGTCAGTATATATCCTTCTGAAACAGTTGTGTCGGACCCAGAACCCCCTTCAACCTCACAGTCAGGTGAAGAACAGCCCTATATCCCTCCGTTAATCAGAAAATTCGAAAACTTACACATTTCTTTAGAAAATCAAAATAAAAGTTTTGAAGAAGAACGAAAAAACTTTGAAAGCGAGAGGGAGAGACCTCTGTTCTAAAAATCGTTCTAGGCGCCCGATACATTTTTTCGCTAAAAGGTGAAGATGTAGTGACTCTAAAAGGTGTCTGTGTCTGTGACTCTAAGACTATCTGCAACCCTGCTCCGTCAATAAATTAAGTTTCCAATCAGTTTATACGAAAAAAGTGTATTCACCCAGTCAATTTAATTTTTTTCTGCAATCCAGCACCGTCAATATATTCACCCAACACAGTTTTTCTTAATTAAATTCATAAATCCTTACTTTTATTATTATACATCATTTTTTACGGGAAAAAAATTAAGAATAATTATTATTTAAAAAACCAAACATTCCGATGTAAAAATAAAAAAAATGGATTTTATATTTTTCGCATATATAAAATAATGCACACTTGTGTTACTATACATGTAATTTTAAATAAAATCTAACTTTTTTGAGAGAGATAATCTAGCCAACAATTACAATATGTTATACTACTCGTATATAATATTACTTTATTTACTAAATTACTATGTTAATTCTTTTAGCGGCATTAATAGCGTGGACTATATATTAAGATTAAAAAATGACACAAATTATTAATATAATAATAATATCATAAAGCTAAGACACATAGGTGTGATTAAGTTAACAAAAACGGAGGAATAAATCCACATACATTGCAAGAAATGGGAAAAGCCACAAAATAAATGTTTTAAACTTATCCCTTGGATCATTTTTATTCCCATTGAAATGGGTTTCAATTAACCCCAGCCGTTCATCTATCCACTAAATAAATGTTTTTGGAATGTCAAATAGCTCAGTGCACATTACCGATGCTCTTGCTTTTCTTCTGACAAAGTTTTGGCAGTATGGCTCCCAATTATTAATCAGCAACTTCCTTTATTATTTTGGAGTGGAGTGAATACACGGATGGTTAGTCCCACACCCAAAGTTTCACCAACCCATTATCCCCTCTTCAAATACAAGGGTTGTATGGAATTTGAGGGTGCAAAGATCAAATCTATCATATCCACCCCAGGATTGCAACTGGTCTAAGAGGGACATTGACCTCTTTGTCTTGATCATGAAAGCGAGAGGGAGATCGAGACCTCTGTTCATTTTTTGGCAAATAGATATGGTGTTAAGTGCACATTTTAAATACTTTAAACATTCAGGAATCAGGAATGTGCACTTCCGTCTTAATTAACCTTGGGAAAGTTCCCGAAATAGGACTAAAACAGTTTGAAAATTCCAAAATAGGACTGTCATGTTTTTTATTCCCAAAATAGGAGTAATTACTGCCAAGTTTGGAAAATACTGCCATGTTTGAAGTCTGGTACTGCCAAAACATGGCAGTAATTAGTCCTATTTTGGGAATAAAAATGTGCCAGTCCTATTTTAGAATTTTCAAACCTTTTTAGTCCTATTTTGGTTAAATTCTCATTAACCTTCCATTTGTGAAATAAATAATTTTTAATTTATGCTTATGAGATAATTTATAATGTAAAATTTAAGATATTAATATCATTTTTTACATGTGTGTACATTGGGGGTATTAAGATAACACTTCTCCAATAGTTAGGGATCATACATTATTCTTCTCCAAAAGGAATTGCGTACGTATAACAAGAGTAAAATTGGAATTGATTAAGTTCACAAATAAGATTAATGATAATTTTTTATCCTAAGAATACAATTTATATGGTTATAATAAAACAAAGGAGGATAAAACTACTTTTGGGGTGAACTGTTCCTATTTTGGGGAAAAACAATTGCGATCCTGTTTGAACGAAATGCTTGTGTTATCTTTTAGATATATATTTAACTTTATATCTACATATTGTATGAATAAGAGAAAATAGTCTAATAACAAGTTAAATTTCTTAGATGAGATCAATTAGGATTTAGGACGGAGCACTTTGGGCTTCAAGGGGCGGTGCAGGGTCCACCCTTTTATTTGTACATATTTGAAGTTTTGAACATATATCTGTTATCTACAAAAAAATATTATTTCCTCCATAACATTCATATCTTCCCACTTTCCTTTTTTGGATGTAACATTTATATCTTCTCATTTCTAAATCTTCCCATCATACCCTTAATAATTTAAAAAATAATACACTACTACACCTACTTTTTTTGGATTATCCTTCATTCCATCACATTATTTCACCATATTCCCATCATACCCTCAATAATTCATACCTCATTTCACTATTCTTAATCTCACCCACTTTGGAAGTGGGAAGATATATGTGATACGGAGGGAGTAGAATTTAGTTACTCTTTTATAAATGCATCAAGCTTTCACCACTTAACACACTAATTTGTATTTGATTCAATACTCCTCAGTATTTTTTGTTTAATACTCCCTCTGGTTTTTAATAAACTTCACACTTTCCTTTTTGGGACGGTCTAAAATAAACTTCACACTTCCTTATTTCCTTTTTTGGCAAAGAAATCTACATCAAAACAGTGCCAAACAGTGTCAAACAGTGTCTCAACAGTGCCAAACAGTGTCTCTACAGTGCCAAACAGTGTTAAACAGTGCCTCAACAGTGTACTCTATAGTAAAGTCAAATTTCTTTCCTTATTTTGTGTGAAGTCAAAGTGTGAAGATTAAATAAAACCGGAGGGAGTACAATAGATGTTGACACATTTTTTAAGAGTGAAATAATAGGGGTAATGGATAGTGTAGAAAAAGTAGGAAAGATGGTGGAAAAGTATGAAAGAGAAGATAAAAAGTAGAAAAAGTAAGGGTAGTTGAGTATTTTTAAAGGAAAAACATACTAAAAAATGAAAGTGTAGCAAATTTTTGAATACATCCACAAAAAAAAGTGTAGCAAACAAAAAATAGGGGGTATTATTATTAGTAGTAGGGGAAACTCACAAAAAGTCATCATGCTTTATAAGAAACAATAAAAATCCTTATATTTTTTTTTTTTACGCAAAAGCAATGTTCTAAAAGGCGTAAGGCGTGCCGAGGCGGCACGCTCAAGCCTTAAGCCTTTGAAGCCTAGGCGAGTTTAGGCGAAGCCTAGACGTGAAAAGGCGTTTTGATTTTTGTATTATTTAATTTCACATTTTTAGAGTTACTTTAAATATTTAAATTCAATACTAAACAATGCTTCTTCATCCCTTTATATTGTCTCATCTTACTTTTTTTTATTTGTCCTACTAAGTTAGTCTGATACAACATTTGATAATATTCGTGAGCTGTAATTTATTGTTGTTTTATTCACATTTTAAAAATTTAATACTAATTACTTAGTTTTACTTTTCTTAATAATCACATCATTCTTTTTGGACAAGGGTAGAAGTAGTATCATACAAGAACATCTTACATTTTTAATATCCAGCAAAGTATGGATCCCTTAAGTTGTAAAACTCAAAAACAAGAACATTTAGTTGTTACACAAAAACTAGAATTGGATAAAATATAGTTGTATGATAAAGTAATAAGGGAAAAGGTGCAAATAGGCCCATGTACTAACCAAAAAAGGTCAAATAAGTCCTTATTTAGGAGGTTTTGTCCGGCCATCGCCATTTGGGGTGGTTCCCGGTGGAATTTTTTGATGAAATTTTTTGAGCATCTTATTCATCAAGTCTGGTTTACTCATACCAAATTTCAGCTAAAACTTCAATCGGAAGGGCATTCAAATGAATTTTTGAAGATAACTGCGCTTCTAACTGCGCCGTTATTTTCAAGAATTCATTTGAATGCCTTCCCGATTGAAGTTTTAGCTCAAATTTGGTGTGAGTAAACCAGACTTGATGAATAAGATGCTCAAAAAATTTCATCAAAAAATTCTACCGGGAACCACCCCAAATGGCGATGGCCGGACAGAACCTCCTAAATAAGAGCTTATTTGACCTTTTTTGTTAGTACATGGCCTATTTGCACCTTTTTCCAAGTAATAATCTTGATGATAACAAAAGTGATGGTGGTGATGATATTAAAATAATACTACATCTCCCCATATTGACTGTCATATTTTAATTTGGTACGATTATTAATAAAATGACCATAAAGTAAACGTTATGGTGAAAATTTGAGTAGAATAAGGTGAAATAATAAGAATAGCATATTTATTGCAAAAAAAAGAAATTCGACATTTAGGACAACCCAAAAATAAAGTTGGACAATCAAAGTTGGACTAAAGGAGTAATAATAGTTAACGGTTGTTTACTTTTTTTTAGCATTTTAGAATAATAATTTTATAAAGAAAACAAAGCTAAAAAATTTAACAAATGAACGTGTAGGCATGATGGAGCCATAGTTATAATCTAGTCTATACGAAGACAATTAGTCCCACACCGTAGGAAGTGACGAACTGCTCTTTTCTCATGCGTGTTAAAAATTTGTGTCAGTTCTTTGATATTATTTTGTCCCACACCGGTGGAAGAGGCAACTCTTCCTTACTGGAGCTTTATAAATTAGTTTAGCTATCTCCTCATTTCTGTGGAGTAAAGCTTCTTTGGGCTCGCTAGTCTAGTTGGGCTGCACTCGAGTTAAAACTGAAGGATGGTGAAGGTCATAACGCCTTTTGCCACGCATAGTGCCTGTGCGAGGCGTTTGTGCGGCGCCTCACGCCTACTCTCGCCTGGGCGGCGCTTTTTGAAGTTTTTTAGAACACTGCGCAAAAGGCTTAATTCATTTCATCAATCACAATGTTCTCAATACAATAAGGAACAGATAAAAAAATTGTGCAAGAAGCATAACTAGTAGATGCTCTAGCAAGAGCATGAGCACTACTATTAGCTTGTCGCCTAGCAAAAACGACACAGAAATCGTTATTAGACCCAACAATATTCCTACAATCATGTACTAGAGATCCATATTCAGATCGATCCTTGTGTGCGTTGTAAATATCATCCACCAACTGCTTGCAATCAGACTCGAAAATAACTCTTGTATACTCAGTCTCCTGCATCCATTTAAGAGCTTCCCTCAAGCTCCAAGCTTCTGCCTCAGCTGGACTCATTTCTGCTCGCATCCATGAAGTTCGGGCCCTGGAAAATCTCCCCATATGATCCCTAACGCAGCAGCCAGATCCCACTCGTTTATTTCCTGAAAAAATTGCAGCATCAATATTGCACTTAACAAAACCAATTTGTGGCCTGCTCCACCTGATAACATTTTGTTTGCTTTCCTTTCTATCACCTCTCGAACCTTGGCCTGCTTCCCATGAATGTAGCACTTCAGCCCCTCGAGATATCACCTGAGTAATCGTTTCTTGTATACCATCCCAATATAAAACATTCCTTTTCCGCCAAATGCTCCACATAGTCATCCCAAACAATTTCAACTTGTTATCAGATAACTCACTGATCACAGTTAAGAAAAATTCCACGAAATTTTCAGCCCTATCCATGACAGTGTCCAAGTCTTCCCACATACCTATCTTTCTCCAGCAAGCTATACTATCCGCACAAGATAGAAAAATATGCCATGAGTTTTCCGGTCCACCATTGCACGAATCACATACCTCTGTGTTGCCCACTCCCCGTGATCTCAGCTTGCTCTTGGTCGGTAAGCAATCCCTCCCCACCCGCCAAAGAAAGGTGCGGATCTTGGGCGGAATTGGCAGCCTCCATATTCTCTTCCATCGGCCATCCTTTTTAAGATGTTTGATATCAACCAAAGAATTCATGCAGGCTTTGTAGGCACTCCTAACCGAGAACATACCGTCCTTCGTAAAACGCCATATAGGAATATCTTCATGGTGAAGTCGTATAAGAGGGATCGAAAGGATATTTTCTGCATCTCGATTGCTGAAAATGCTTCTAATGAATGCCTCTCTCCAAGTGCTTCCTTCGCGGTCAATCAATTGTGCTACCTTTAGTTCTTGTAGTTCAAGTTTCGGTGGCGTATGCAGTTTAGGGTCTTCATTTCGTAACCAAGGTTGAGTCCATACATTGATAGATTTTCCATTACCAATGCTCCAGCGGTATCCATCCTTTACTATAGCTTGGGCTGACCAGATGCTACGCCAACAATAACTGGGATTATGTCTTGAGGACGCCCCAAAATACTCCCCTCTAGGGTAATATCTAGCTTTGATAACTCGTGATACCATAGCCTCCGGGTCAGAAATAAGTTTCCAACCTAGTTTCCCCAACATAGCAAGATTGAACCCGTGGAGATGGCGAAAACCCATGCCTCCTTCCTCCTTCGAAATTATTAATTTCTCCCAACTCAGCCAGTTAATACCTTTACCCTCTCTTTTTCTTGAGCCCCACCAAAAAGAATTCATCATTTTCTCTAACTCTTCTTGTAATGAGCAGGGAAGCAAAAAGACACTCATGCAATATGTAGGAATATATTGTAATACAGATTTAATAAGTACCTCCCTGCCAGCTTGAGATAACATTTTACTACTCCAACTCGAAATCTTCTTCCATACTCTATCCTTGATGTAATTAAAGATTGCTTTCTTTTTCCGCCCTAACATAGATGGCAGCCCGAGGTATTTACCGGTTCCAATACATCGTTTGACTCCAAGAATGCTGGACAGATGTTCACATGTAGAATCATCAATGTTCTTGCTAAAAAAGACCTCTGATTTTTGCTGATTTATAATCTGCCCTGAGGCTTTCGCATAGACATCAAGGATATGCTTCATTTTCCTGGTTTCTTCTTCTTTCGCTTGGAAGAAAAAAAAACTGTCGTCCGCAAAAAATAGATGACTTATTGTTGGTGCTCCACGACATATTCTCACTCCATGTAGCTCCCCCAATCTCTCCGCTTGCCGAATAAGCGCTGTAAGTCCCTCTGCACATAAAATGAAGAGATAGGGGGACAGTGGGTCCCCCTGTCTCAGACCCCTTTGAGGGACAATTGGCCCAATACGATCATCATTAACAAGAATTGTGTACCGCACAGTAGTAACACACATTTTTATCCACATGATCCACGTCGTATTAAAGCCCAATCGCTCCAAAATTGCCCAAAGATAGCCCCATTCCACCCGATCATAGGCCTTACTGATATCAATCTTGAAAGCAGCCCCGCCCCTTGTGCCTCCTGTTTTACACTTCAGATAATGAATAATTTCATTAGCAATTAAAACATTATCCAAAATGCTCCTTCCAGAAATAAATCCCGACTGCTCCACCGAAACACATCTATGAAGTATTTTCTGAAGTCGGTTTGCTAGGACTTTAGCTACTATTTTATAAACAACATTACAAAGAGAAATGGGTCTAAGATCACCCATAGATATAGGCGTATCGCATTTAGGGATTAATACAATATTTGTTTCGCCTATCACTTCTGGGAACCGCCCTTCTGTCAACCACTTTCTGTCTGCCTCAACTATGTCTTCCCCACAAAGCTTCCAGAATCTTTTATAAAAGGCCGGATTGAGGCCATCCGGTCCAGGGGCTTTGTCTGAATGCATCTGGATCATGGATGCTTTGAATTCATCATCCACAAATGGGGCCGTCAACGTACTGTTAATCTCCTCGGTGATGCACGGTTTAAGAGCTGCCAGCACTAGGGAATAATCCACATCACAAGAATTAAAAAGATTAGTAAAATAGGACTGCACCACTGCAGCAATACCTTCCTGTGATGTTACTAAAATTCCATCTTCATTCTTGAGGCTAGTAATTTTGTTTCTTTTCTTTCGGGAAGTAGCAGCAGCGTGAAAGAATTTAGTATTCATGTCTCCATCCCGCATCCAAAAAGCCTTCGCTCTTTGCTTCCAGAAAGTCTCCTCTTGAGCAAGGAGTTTAGCCAATTCTCGCTGCAGGATTTTAGCTTCATGAACTGCTTCGTTTGAAAGAGACTCTCTTGCCAGTGCTAGTTTAGCTCTGCATTTATCAATAGCTTCTGTGTGTCTTCTTCTCAATTTCCGCCCCCAAGCATCTAGTTTAACGGTACAACGTGCCAGCTTCCTGAGCAATGGGTCTCCTGTGGATTCTTTCCATTCCCTCTCAACTACTATATTAAGTTCGGGTTCAACAAGCCATGAATTCTCAAACTGAAATCTTCTCTTCCTGAACATGCATACTTGAGACTTCGTGTTAAGCAAAATAGGAGAATGATCAGAGTGAGAGGCTACCAGATTACGTAATATACTGGTTGGAAAGCGCTGCAGCCACGCCTCTGTTCCCATAGCTCTATCAAGCCTTTCCTCTACCGACTCGTCAGAATCTAGGCTTCTCCACCAAGTAAAGGGCCTGCCTTCGAGCTGAATATCCACTAATCCACAGTCAGTTATTGCCGCTCTAAAACCATTTATTAACCAGGTAGGGTGCTCTACCCTTCCTCTCTTCTCCTCATGAGCCAAAATGTCGTTGAAGTCTCCGATAACACACCATGGCAATCTACAATTGCTAGCTATCCTTCTAAGAATATCCCAGGATTCTCTTCGATGTTGTCTATCCGGAATGCCATAGAATCCTGTAAGTTGCCACGGTTGAGTAGATTCCTCTTTAACCAAAACATTAATAAAATTTTTTGAAAAATTGATTAGTTCAATGAGACTGGAAGATCTCCAAAGAATCGCTAGTCCACCACTTCTTCCCTCCCTGTCCACTACAAAATAGGCCTCAAAACCCAAAAGTCTACGAATTGCATCCACCTTATTAGAAGAACATAAAGTCTCACAAAGGAAAATAACATCTGGCTTATTATGCCGAACTAGGTCTCGAAGTGCCGGAACTACACGCGGGTGACCCAATCCCCGGCAGTTCCAACTTAAAATAATCATTGGTCCTGGTGGGCCTGGGACCCAGGACCCACCCCAAAAAAATTTTTATCAGCGATGCCTGATGTACTAGTTGAGCAATCTGTAACTTTTGGTTGTGACTCTTCGGCAAGTCGTTTTCTTTTCCTCTCTGCAGCTAGTTCATTATCCTCTGTCTGCATTTCACTACTGCAGTGGGCAGCTTGATCAGTAACCTTACTACTCTGTTGTTGATTTATGCCTTTGACATGTTCTCCCCATTGCCCACCTGTGTCATCCCTCAACCATCGACACCCCTCTGAAGCCCCTGTCTTCCTTCTGTCTGCCCTTAACTCTATGCTCCAGCCTCTTACTCCATTGTCCTCTTGCATTTGAAATAATTTGTCGCATTGGGTGTCTAAATGGCCCAGTACTCCGCATAAGAAGCAAAAGGTGCTCAATCTTTCATATCTAAAACGAACCATTTTAATTTCCCCACTGACCAGCCTAATTTTTTTCCCCCTCTTTAAGGGATTACAAGCGTCTAATGTGACTCTTATGCGCATATACTTCTTCCAGAGACCCTCATTGTTCTTAGGATCATACTCTACGAAAGTTCCAATAAAATTTCCCAAACTCTTTCCTGTTTCCTCATCCATATGTGTCATTGGAATATCGTGTACTTGAACCCAGAAATCGACATGAAATAATGGAACTTCCGAGGGTATAGATGTTGCCCCCATTTTTGCAGTAATCAGCAGATGGTTATCAAAGTGCCAGGGGCCTCCCTTCATAACCTTTTGCAGATCCAATCGATGATAGAATTGAAAGAGAAATATACCTGATTGTACTTGTTTAATCGAGACTCCCTCATGGGGTTCCCAGATTGTAGCCAGTCGCTCTTTCATCATGTGCGTTCGTATTGATTTCTGAGTCAAGAATCTTCCGACTAAACAAAGATTGACATCCGCAAGCCGAACCTGGGATACTGAATTAGAAATCTCCAAAATCTCTTCTTCATCGTCGTTAAGTTGCAGATTTTCCATACTGGATTATTAACAACGCTCAAGAATCGGGAATAATCTACCTCTCACACAGAGAGAAAACCCTAGGACTTCTCACGAGGAGAGAGACATTAGACTCCTTATATTTTAAAAACTCCAATAAGGGTCTCATTGTCTCAAAGTTGTTCAAAGCACTCAATTCCAAATTTCCAATGCCTCATTTTGAAGTTTAGTTTCCGGTTTCTCGTGTCTTAGCGTTTAGGATTTGAAGTTTAGTTTCCGGTTGCTCGTGTCGTTTAGGATATACCGTCTCTTTGTCTATTCACGTGCATTGTTGGGGCTGATCGGAAGTGAATTTGGATTCCAGTAGTGACCGGAGAGTTCCATTATGAAAGAGATAGAGAGGAGAAATTTAAGGGTGGAGTAGGTTGGTGAGTAGGATAGAGAAAAAGATAGAGATAGATAGGAAGTAAAAAAGAAATTGAGGGGAAATGGAGAGAAAGAAATGGAGAGGAGCTGAACCCATCGGAAGTCCACTAATAATTTATTTTGTTGCACTACATCTTTGTCTTCTTAAGACTTTTAACACAAAAGCTCCTTCAAAGATAGGTATAAAACATAACAAAGATAAATTGATTAATATTGGAGACGTATATGTGAAATAATGGGAAATGGGTACTCCAATAGGAGCCCTGATAGGTATAATTATATTAAATAAGAGTTGCCAAAATACACAAGGATTCCTAATTTATATTAACTATTACACCCCCTCAAGCTGTGCGGGAGGAACAATGCGCAGGTTGTCTTTCAAAAAATGAAACTGCTGACTAGATAAATTTTTAGTAAAAATATCTGTCAGCTGTAAATGTGTAGGAATATATTTTACTAACAAATCACCATGAGCAACTCTCTTGCGAACAAAATGATAATCAATCTGAATATGCTTGCTTCGAGCATGTTGAACTGGGTTTGCTGTCAGATAAGAAGCAGAAATATTATCACAGAAGAGTTTCACAGGGTCTCGAACCGCAAAGCCAAGCTCAGATAAGATCGAACGAATGTGTAGCGTGTCCTGGACTGTGTATGCTATGGCTCGATATTCAGCCTCCGTAGAAGACTTAGATACCGTAGGCTGCTTCTTGGACTTTCAAGATACAAGATTAGGACCAAAGAAAACAGCAAAACCTGTAGTGAAACGTGAGGTATCCGGACAGCCCGCCCAATCAGCATCCGAATATGCCAAAATACAGATGGGACGTGTTGAACTCTGAAGCCATAGTCCATGATCAATGGTACCCTGTAAATAACGAAATATACGCTTGACAGCAAGCATGTGAGTGGTCCGTGAGGCATGCATAAATTGTGACACTAAATGAACTGCATAAGTAATATCAGATCTTGTCAAAGTTAAATATTGCAATGCACCTATCATACTACGATATTCAGTAGCATCAACAAGAAGTTCACCATCAGTGAAAGAGAGAGAAGTGCGAGTAGGCAGTGGTGTACGAACGGACTTGAGAGTGTGTAATTGAAAACGAAGAAGGAGGTCAGAAACATATTTTTGCGGAGACAGAAAAAGACCTTTAGAGTTTCAAACAGCTTGAACTCCCAGAAAATAATGGAGATCACCGAGATCTTTCATTGCAAAACAAGAAGCAATACGACCAATAAATGAAGACACGAGAGATGGAGAATTACTAGTAATAATAATATCATCCACATATAATAATAAATAAATAATGGACTGACCATGGCGATAAATAAACAAGGAATTATCAGACTTACTACACACAAAATTATGAGTAAGTAAGAAACTGCTGAAACGATGGAACCACGCCCGCGGGGCTTGCTTAAGACCATAAATAGCTTTTCGCAGACGACAAACATGATGAGGAAATTGAGGATGAATAAAAACCCGCGGTTGACGCATATAAACTTCCTCTGTAAGATGTCCATGAAGAAATGCATTTTTCACATCCAACTGACGCATAACCCACCCAAAAGAAATAGAAAGAGTAAGAACAATACGAACTGTGGTGGGTTTAACGACAGGACTAAAAGTCTCAGAAAAATCTACACCAGCCTGCTGATTAAATCCTTGAGCAACCAAACGGGCTTTATGGCGCTCAATGGAAATTTAGACCCAACCACATTTTTAGAGCTATCAAACGGAACTAAATCCCAAGTATTATTGGAAATAAGCGCATTAAATTCATCTGCCATAGCCTCACGCCAAATTAAATGTTTCTATGCCTCAGAATAACATGTCGGATCGGCTGCCGTAACAACTGTGTTTAATGTAAAAATTGATTTGGGTTTAAAAATACCGGACTTAGCCCGGGTTTTCATAGGATGAACATTTAATTAACTGGGGACGGGCTGGGCTGGTAAGAGGAGAAGTTTCCGGGCTGGTTGTCTGAGACGTAGTGCTGGCCGAATGTGACTGAGAAGAAGAACTGGAGGTAGGAGTGGCTCGGGCTGAAGGTGGGGCAGAAGATTAGGTGGCCGAGGTCGGAGAAGAGGGGCTGGCCGCGGGTGTGACTGGACAACTACTGGACGAGGATGTGCTGGGAACATGATCTGTCATCGGGAGCGAAGTTCCATGATCAAGGGAGGGAGGTGATAGTGGTGGGAGGACTAGTGCGGCCGAGGGAGTGGTAATGGTGGCCGTGTGGTATTAGTGAGAATAAACTAGGAATGGTCAGGGGAAGATGGTGACTCGGACGAGGAAGACATTAATGATGTAAATGGAAAACTGTTTTCGAGAAACCGCACATGACGACTGACATATACTCTACCAGACTTAGGTCCCAAACAACGATACCCTTTATAACCAGATGCATAGCCAATAAAAACACAGTGAACGGAACGGGCTGAAAGTTTGTTTGCTGAAGATGTAGAAATGTTTGGAAAACAAGAACAGTCAAACACACGCAAAAAAGAATAATTGGGAGATTTTTGGAAAAGTCGTTCATAAGGAGAGGATCCGCCACGTAAGGGAGAGGGTAAACAGTTAATAATAAAAGCAGCCCATACCCAGAACTGACTAGGAATAGATGCTTCAAGAAGCATAGTCCTAGTAAGTTCTAGTAGATGTCGATGTTTACGTTCAGCGACCCCATTTTGTTGAGGTGTGTCAGGACAAGATTTGCGAAAATAAATACCACGAGTGTCGAAAAATTGCTGCATATTAAAATTAACGAATTCACCCCCTCCATCACTTTGAAAATTTTTAAATTTTGTATTAAAGAGATTTTCAACCAAGGCTTTAAAATTTTTAAAATGCTGAAAAACCTCTGCCTTTACACGCATGGGATATATCCAAGTATAGCGAGAAAAATCATCAATAAAACACTCATAATATTTAAAAACCCAAATTAGATAAAATGGGAGATTGCCAAACATCAGAATGAATTAATTGTAAAGGCATTGTAGAATTATGAGTAGCATCCATAAAGGCCGGGTAAACGTTGAGATTTGCTTAATCGGCAAGAAATACAGTCATGAGAAAAACTAGAGCTACTACATATATGACGCTGACTCTGTAAAGTATGTAAAATAGAGGTGCCACAATGGCCTAATCTACGGTGCCAAATCGGGCCAGACGAAGTGCGAGAAGACAAGGCAAGCGGTGGCTGAGGGTTGAGGCTGACTGGATAGAGATGACCTTGACTAGGAGCTTGAAGAAGGAGCATCCCCGAAATTTTGTCCTTAACAAAAAAGAATTTTTTATCAAAAATTACAACACAGTTGTTATCAGCACAAAGTTTTTGTATAGACAATAAATTAAATTTAATGTGAGACACATGAAAAACATATTTTAACGTGAGATGACGACTGGAGGAAGTTAAATGAACATCTCCAATATTAGTAATGGGAAGTTTAGAGCCATTAGCAACACTAACAGAGAGTGGTCCAGTATAAATTTATTTATTGACTAAAATACCTTCCGTAGGAGTCATGTGAGCCGAAGCCCCAGAGTCAGGATACCAAGCATTCCAGCTCAGCTGGCTGTGAGGTTACCGCGCCTAGTGGGGGTCTTGAGTTCGAAACCCGCTAGGCATATAAAGGTTCGAAACTCAATGGAGTGAGCTTCATCCCTTATTACTCCAGACCCCCTCCCCCAATCCCCCGGAGTTGAAAAAAAAATATATATTGGAGACGAATTAATTTGGATCTTTGCAACTACCCTTTTATATCACTTTTCGGTGGCAAGCGGTTTAGTTCATAGGATGCATGTCTGGATAGAAAAGAAATTTTGACTTCTAAATCACTTATGGATGGGTACTTTTTTTACAACTTATTAAAGGGGGTTTGATAGGTCAGACTTGAGCATGAGGACTTAATTTAAGTTTTTGAAGAAGTAAGATGTCAGACTTATTTGGCAGTTTTTCCGAATTATTATGTATTATTGTATTTTATATCATTGGTAAGTTTTGTTTGTGGTATGAATTTTAGGATCTCATTGTTTGGATCTGCATGGGGCAAAGAAAACTGACCCAGCATGGTTAACTCAACAACGGGATACTGAAGTCAAAATTATACAAAGTTGGATAACGAAGCAATGAGTCTAAATTTCACCCCTCAAGAATAAAAGAGATTCAGCATCACATCATCATATCAAACTTATTATCGGAACCCATCACCCACACTAGTGACACTACTACGTTTATATTGTAATCGATCTATCCTTGCAAGGAGTACTTCATTTCTTAATCTCAAGACAATAGTACTAAATAAAAATACTGATAAATTAATACTTGATTAATGGAGCTGAGTGACTCTATATATAAATAGTACGCAGTATTTTTGTGTTGTGATTGTTGTGATTTTAATCATACACTACACTTATTATATATTGTGATAGTAGTAGACTCAATTATGCAGTTTGTTTAGGATTTCACGCAGTGAGTCCGCCATTGGGTTAGTTGGTAAGGTCTGTGTTCACAACATCATCTTGAGGTTTTAATTTCATGGTTAACCGTCGATCGATCACAAGTCTTAAGCGGCATGGCGCAGTATGTGATTGTTGGAAACATTGGGTTAATATACAGGGTCGTTTAAAAAAATTGGAGGCCCCACTTTCAAATTACAAATTGAGGCCTTCTAAAATAAAATAAAAAATACAAAATTCAACTATGCAATACAAATAGCCTATATAATTCCATGAAATATATGTTTTATGGTGTTTAAAGTACACTAATTAGACATTCTAAAAGTTATATAATTTTTTGACTAGTGGATAATACATAACATCTAGAAAAATGACGGCAACTACAAGATTGGGCTCCGGTGCCAAGCACTTATTGCACATCCTAAAAGAGCTGAGGTTCCTGCTAATATATAATATTTGAGAGGAAGAGTACGTATTTTAGTAATGGAGTGTGTATTTATGTGGAGGAGTAGTGAGGCTTAGAGAGAGAAACTATTTTTATTGATGGCAACTTTCTTATGAATTGGTACAAATGGACTTACAAAGTGTTCATAGAAAGATATTCTAGAAAGATACATTCATTAATTACATATTCTAGAAAATACATATACAGTCTTCATATGTCCTATCACTTGTAGAATAACTCTAGAAATAGATTCTCTAGACCCAAATACTTAGGGTCTGTTTGCAACAGCTTCTGCTTTTAAAAAAGTGTTTTTTTAATGAAATGAGGAGAAATGATTAAATAAAAGTTGATAGTGTTTGAGAAAAAAGTGATTTTGAAAAGTAAAAGTGGGTAGTGTTTGGTAAAATGAGTGCTTTTTGTGTAATAGAAAAAGTAAAAGCACTTTTGACGCGGAAGCCGAGAAAAATAAAAGTTGTAGTGTTTGAGAAAATAAGTGCTTTTTTAAAGCCAAAAGCTAAGAAGTGCTTTTAAAAGGAGTTGCAAACCAACCCTTATTAATTTTGGGACTTGAGACATTGTGGGCGACTAACCCTTCCTAGCTGTCAAGAAGAGACTTGAGACATTGTGGGCGATTCAAGGGATCATACAAGTCTCGGACATGACAAACCACTACTATGTCGTTCAATTTTCGGCCAAGGAAGACTACCTTCTAGCTTCTTATGGTGGGCCTTGGAAGTTTTTTAATTACTATATAGCACTCTCGTAATGGACACCAAACTTTAATGTACATGCCTCGCTGAAGAAAATTCTTACGTGGATACGTCTTCTAGAATTATCGTTGTCACGCGTATCGCTGGTTACGGTCGCAAACCCATCCGGCACTAGTAGAAAACTGGCTTACAGTGACACTTCGATAGTGACACTTTCTGATAGTAACATATAAACGTCACTAGTTTCTAACACAAATACATCAGTGTCATAACCATTCTAATAACGGGTCGGCCTACAGAGTACTATTTCAACCCTTAGGGTTTTTCCACTCCCCATTCCAGATCAGTTTACATCTGCGCATCTCTTTCCCTTCCTTCTACGAACTCCATCGCTTCCCAACTTAATCCTCGCGAGTCTCCTTTGCCAGTCTGTGCTTCTTCCTCAACGGTTCTATTCAAATTCCAGGTAAGTGGTTAGTTCTTTATCGATTCTGAGTATTCTTGACGAGATTTCCTTCAATGAAATTGAAGAGCGCAATTGATTTGAAATGGGAGCCAAGTAGATTTTTCTTTCTATTTCGTCATTTGTTAGGTCAAAACTAAAGAGTGACTACTGATTCAATATGCGCCGCACCTCTTCTCCTACTAAGCGAACGACAACATGTCATCCTCACGAAGCAACAACCATAATCAATTTCCAGCGAGGAGGCGCTCGGAAACCACATCAATGAACATCATGCTTGGTAAAGAAAGTATTAGTTTTATTCAGTCTCATATTCTATCTATGTTGCAAGTTTTCAGATTGTTCTAGCATTCAAAATCCTAATTTCATTTAAAACTTTAAAATTGATGCCTATGTGTTTGTGGAAAAGCCTAAGAAAAGGAAAAGAAAAAATGGACCAAGAGGAAGTTTTACATTGGTTTTCTTTATGTTATCTTTGGTTTCTACAGTTTTACAATTTCTTTTAGCTTATGCCCCCAGGTTAAGCTACTAGTGCCGGATGGGTTTTCTACAGTTAGCTTATCACTCAGATCATTTTTTGCCTCCAAAATATATTCTGTGCATTTATATTTTTTAAACCACTTAGGTTAAATGTACTAGGAGACTTGTAGTACCTTCAAGTATGGAAGATAAATTGTAAAAAATAAACTACTTGAACTCAAATGGATACATAAAACTTTTGTTTGGATAATATTTGGTTAACGTAAGTGAAAGTAGTAATAACTTGTTTAGATGAAGGTTATCTTAGTTGAATTGGTTAAATTTATCATACTTAATGCAAGTCATTTTCTTCATAACTTCTCTAGATGTGACTAAACTATACCATTTTAAAGTAAAAAACAGAACACATAAAAAATGAAGTGATCCTGGGTTTTTTTCTATGGTAACTTTCATTGTTTTGCTATGCTGATTGGCGGTGGAGTATAAGACTAACTTTGGCTGTTGTTTTTTGGACGGTAAAGTATGTATATTGGTATATATTTGAGATTTTACAAAAACTAATTAATTTAATAACATAACAAATTTGTAAAATATAGAGTTGTAGGTCACTTAGGATTTTTCTAAATTTTATCATACTAAATGCCGTTATGTGTTTTTGTAAGTAAATAGTGGTGTAAATTAGTCTTTTGGTTATTAACACTAATGACTGAAATACTTCCAAAAGATATTTTAAAAAGAAAAGCTATGATTTTCCACTTTAAGTATTCTACATATTCCACTTGCTCCTTTTTTATGACTTCAAAAATGTTACCAAAAACCATTTTATTCCATTCCCTTTCCCTAGATCCTGTTTAAGCTGCTATAATTGACTATAGAAACCTCTCACCCCCCAACATTCCGAGAATGAGACCAACTGTTTTCAACTATTTTCATAAAAGAGTGATGATTAATCCACATATTCTGAAACCGAAATGGCTTATAACCCTCAAAACTGTTTCCTTTCATATCGATCAATTCGATTGCACTGCATACTCTGATTTTAGTTTGGCTTTTAGTTTTTGCATCGAAGAAAACCAATTTTGAATCCATTTTTCTTTCCAAAACAGAAGAGGATTGAGTTTAGGACGTGAATCTGTCATTGATGGAAAGATCAAAGATGGACTATGGGGCGTTTACAATGAATTTGGGATGGGACTATGTGTTGAACTGTGTGCTGATCAGTATCAATTCACAAGGGAAGAGCAGGTACTTTTTTCCTACCTTAATCATCTCCCAAGAATATTTTTTTTCTATGTTTACTTTCTCTCTCAATTCATAGAGCTCATGAGTTTAATTTGATAGTTTCCTTGTGAAGGAGTATACGAACAAACAAAACACGACAAATTAAGACTCAAGACTCTGCCTCATCCATGTTATATTGATAAACATTCCATGCCGTAAGAAAGCAACAAAGATGAGTAACAATGGGGTTTTATATACTTGCAGGGTAGAGCACTAGCAATTGTTGATCTGGAGCTTTTAGGTGCATATGCAGAAGCAATAAAAAAATCTTGGCCACTATCTAGATAATGTAGCTTTTAAGGTCAGGCTTACTAGTAATTTAAATTGGGTTTAATCCATTTTAAATTGCCAAAGATTGCCTTGAAGTATGCTTTCTCAACTTTATTTTGTCTATTATTTAAAAATTTCCTTCATTCATACTTTTGTAGGCATCATACATTCCTCTATTGACTAAGATTATTACTTTCTTTTTTGAAGTGTTAGTGTACTCAAACAGGTACATAATACGTAGTAATACTTATGAATTTTCTCATTGATTTTTTTAATAAATGTATTCACATCATTGTAACTTATCTATGACCATCAATATAATACTTATGAATTTTCGTTTTAGTTAGAAAGTTTCTCCTGGAGAGGTCTCATCTTTTCCAAGTATTCAATCTTTAGCAGAACTATCACCGTATCAGTGTATCTACCTTCTTTGTGTAGCACCAGAAGAGGTAACTCATCTAAAACCTTTCTGCACATCATAATATCTTATATTTGGTAATTCAATTGTGATCCTCATATTTTTGTTTAATTTAAAATTTGACATTTCTTCTATTTTTCTCAAATTTCTTTTTCTTCCATCATAAAATTACACATATTTCACCCAAATTAAAAAAGTTTTTCAAGTGGATAGGAACCTTTTACTCTCAATGGATGCCTAAATTTGTTGCATCAATATGTTGCATACACATGCATACTGCACTTTTTGTGGTGTGTATTAATTAAGTACTTTTTAGTCACATTTGGAATACTCAAATTATTGAGTTTATGACATGACTGATAGTGAAGTTTGGATCTTTTTTTAGAGCTTCTGCAACCAAGGGGGAGTGAGATGCTTGGTGATATTTGTTTACTTGTTTCTGATTTTTTTACATTTTGAAGCCATCATTTCTCTGCAGATTCAAATTGAGGTCAATTGGCATAGATTCATGTCCCTCTTGTTCTTGCCACTACTAAGAAGATTTCATACCTTCCTTGCCTTTATATTTACTGAATAGTTCAACTGGAGACTTGCTAACAACCGTGAAATGAAGAAGGAAATGAAAATGGACATCATCGCTCTATGGAAACTGGAAAGAGATTAACCCGTTGAAGAATGTGACAAGTAATAGCTTGGAACACATACACTGATTAGAGTGTGAA